CATGTTTAGGAATTGCATTTGATAAGGTAAATGCATTGGAAACGTGTTTTTGTTTGGTCTTGGGCTCCAAATTGATCTAGTGCAAAGTTCAGAAGACCCTAAAACCTGACTCAGGAGTGGCATCACTTTTTTTCAGTTGTTCAGACTAAAAACCTGTGATGTGTCCTCAATTTTCTTTCTTTGGATCCACCTCCAATCCATCAGCAAGTCCTGTGGGCTCTTGGTGAAGCATTCCGAGTGCAGCAATGCCTGCCTCTCTCTGCCCCTCCTGTCTGAGCCGGAACCATCTCCCCCAGTGCTGTGGTGGCCCACTGACTGGCATCTCGCTTCCAGAAGGCGTTGCTGCTTTTGACATGTTTCCACAGCCCATCATTCCTGCTGCAAAAAGAATTCTTTTCTGCAGATATAAATTAGATAGTGACACTCCTCTGGTAAAAAACAGACAACCCAAACCAAAACAAAACAAAGCAAAAACTTCCGAGGACTTGCCATTATACTTAGACTAAAAGCCTTTTTGGCTGATAAGGCTCTAGACTCTCAATCTCGACTGCACTTTAAGTCACCTGGAAAGTTCAAAAACTAACTTGTCTGGGCATGTGGTATTTACAGCTCCCTGGGGGGTTCCAGTGTTCACCCCAGATTGCAAGCTATTTCTGTAGGACCCCTTCTCCCCCAACTCCCTTTTTCCCCCTCTCCTCTTCAGCCCCAAATGCCTCCTTGCTGTTTTCTGAGCATACTAAGCTAATTTTTGCCCCCAGACATGGATCACTGTTCCTACAGATCTTTGGGTGATCTACTCATGCACAGATCTGGAGATCTGCTCAGATATTAACTTGACAGGAACATTTTCCCTGACCGGTCTACCTAACTGCTCTCTATTTCTTCATTCTGCATATCTTTAGCATTTATACGAATGCATGTTGATTTCTTATTTACCTACTAATTATTGCTCTTCCTCACAAGAGTATAAACTTCATGGAGATGGAAACTGTCTCAGGCCCTAAAACCTCTTCAGCCTGGCATGAAGTATGCTTGGTGTTACTTCTCCAGTTACTATATCTTGAGTGAATGAAAGGGTTCATCAAGATTCTGATATCAGGAATTGCTACAACTGGGTAGTTGTAGTTTGTGGAGTTCTTTATTTGAAAGGCTTTTGTGGTTTGCAGCCCTAGACTTCCCCTCCAGACACAATCAAGGCGACTTTTATTTGCTTACCTATGTTGCTATGTTTTTATGTAATGCTTTCCTTTCTGAGAAACAGACCATCTTGTTGGACTTCAAGTGAGTTGGCTGGTTCGAGGGGTAGGATTCTTTGCTATATTCCTCTCTGCTGGAAAGGTGCAGAATCCCCCATTTCTTTTAGGAGAATGGTACAAGTGGTAACACTGCCCCATTGCTGAAAGCCAGTCACCCCTCTCTCAGCGTCTTTATTCATGTGTCCCCTTTGCACTTTTTGATATGAAAGTGTTGCTCATCTTCCTTCCTGATCTAGTGGTGCATCTACCAACTGGGGACTTAAGCAACAGACATAGACCTTCCACACATTTGCACACCCCTGGCTTAGGTCTGGGGTCCTGGTCACTCACCAAGAGGCCCCTGATGCTTGCCTTCCAGTGCCTAGGCAAATGTTGGAAGACTTTCTCCTGAGTTAGAACTCAGTTTCCCTATCTGATTCTGTTAATAAATGTCAGTGGATTTATGCCAGTCAGCACATTTTAAGTTCAGATGACATTTGTTTATTGGGAAAAGTTACAGAATAGAAACTAGGACTAGAACAGCATGCCTTCAAAAGAAGTACATTTCAGAGGGTCTATAGTTCAGGTGTAACTATAAAGATAGTAAGGTGAAATCTATTGTGGCCTTATGAACAAAAAGACCTGGAACAACCAAGTTACCCTTTTGAAATTTTTCTTAGTTAATTCTAAAAATAGATCATTATTGGTGTTAATCTGGGAAAAAAATGCTCATGAAGTAAGACTGTGAGCTCCTTAAAGATTAGTATTATCACAAAACCTAACAAAGAACCTCCCACATGGTGAGCATTTTGGGTTAAAATAGAAAAAGGGAATATCTAAAATGCCAGGCTTTTTTAATAATGTCAACACAGATCTCATTTTACCTACTGTAAATATTGTTTTTCTCTACTCTAATCACTAAAATAACACAAATATGTATTTATTCAGTTTATTTGGCTTATGTATCTTTATTTAATTATGACTATTGTACCCATTTAGAAAATTTCTATGTATTTTAAGAGTTTAATATATTTTCTGTTTGTTTTATTTCCTGACTATTGGCTATTTTAAAAAGTTTGTGTTGTAAATCTTCTATATCCATTTGCATAATAGTTTGAATAGATTTTTTTGTTAGCTTGTAGATCCTTAGCACCACTTATATCAGTGTCCTCTAAGAAAACAAATTACACAATCCAAATAAAACAATGTTTAGAATTCTAAACCTGTTTATAATTTAGGGACATCTTATAATGCTCCATTTTGGGGCTTTAATTCATAGTACTAAACATATATGAACTATACATTAATGGCACAGAAAGAAAGAGGACATGTGCTTTCAGGTTCCTCTGGAAAATAGCTAAACAAGCCCATAAAGATGGCTGCATCTCCCAAGGGAGAGCTTTGCCACAGTCGTTCTCAGTAACTGGCTTTGTTCCAAACTAATCTAGTCCAGGCTCTACTTAATAAATCTGCATTGCATTTGGGTTTCCTTCTTGATCTCTTTCCTCCCTTCAATGAGAACTTACTCTTCTGCTACTCATCAGGAAATCTGGGCCCTGAAGTAGAGCCGGGCCGTCGTCCCTGAGATGTGGCATCCATCCTGCTCAGGGTGAGGCATAGGATTGAACTTAAGTAGTGGCCAGATCCACTGCCTGACCAATTCGTTTTTCATGAGATGCTTGTATATTTATATTTTTGTTCGTGTACGTGATATGATTCTTGTGCACCGTTAACTATGGAAAGGTTAAGGAAGAGAAAATGGGAAGTCGGAGTTTAAAAATATATAAGGTTAATTGGAAGTCCACATTCTTTTGCAATTAAGGCGGTTCTTACTCAGTTTGGTGACAATGAAGCATTCTTTTGGTTTGTGTTATGCTTTTGAGGAACAAATCTTTTATTCTGGTCCTAATTTTGCCAAAGATACCAAAGACTCAGAAACAATTTCATTTCCATTTGGATATAGTTAGTTTCTTTAGTATAAATTTGAGAGAGAATGTGAACCCTCTAAAGCTGGACCTTTTCCTTTCCTTTCTAAAAAAGAGACCATTTCTCTTCCTTTCATTTCTAAAAAGGAGATGGCCAGTGACAAGCACTAAATCATCTTGAACTGAAAAATAAAGCTTTAATTAAAGAGCATCACTTTCTTGTCCTGCAAGAAAATAAAACCATAGCTCTGAATATAATCTTATGTAGATGGTTAAGAGGTTATAATGAATATTGGTATATTACAAATAACTTTCTTTTTTATGCATAAAAAAGTTAAGCTGATGGATTTTAATTATGATAAGACACTACTGAATATGTCAATAATATGAATTTTTATTGGCTTCTGGATTTTCTAGTGAATGCTACATGGCATATGAATATGTTTCTAATTAAATTAATTCATTTAGAGGGAAACACCTCATCAACCAATTCTTAGGAGTACTTCCATAACCTTATTTATTAGTGTGGGTTTTTTTTCCTTTTCCCTTTTTAGTTTTAGGAACTAGGGATTTATTATCAGTGTTTGATAAACAACACAAGTTAATAGTCACCAAAGGTATGGTTAAGTAGTTTACATTATTAGTGATGCTAACAGTAAATAGTGATACTGTCTAAGTCAGTTTCCAACTTTGCCACTTATTTCCTGTGTGACTAAGGGCAAGTTATTCTGCTTTTTTTCCTCTTCTGTAAAATGTCTTTTTGTTTGCACTTGTATAGATTAGCAAGAGAAATAATAGCTGCTTCTGAGGATTGAGTTAATATAAGGCACTTATAACTAAATATATACAATATGTGTTTATATTTTTTCTATTCAGCAGAAGTTATATTTTCAGCCAATTGCTTTTCCCTAATAGATACATCCCAGTCAATATGGAGTTTTTCCTTCCTTCTTCCCAAGGATTAAGTGTGTATTCTGGGAATTTAGAGAGTAACAGGGCTTTGGGGGCTGCTGGAGAGAACAGATCTGACCCTTAATGTCTTTGCTAATACAGTCGTTTGCTGAGGTCAACTATCCATCATCCTGACTGAGCTTCACCACCTAAAATTTTTGATATATATCTGATGTGTTTATTTCTCATCTGTCCCTGGTCCCAGAGAGAAAGTGCAGGACTGTTGACACCCCATCTGTGCAGATAGCCTCTGCCACCTTCTCTTCTCTGATCGTTTTGCTGGCTTGGGGCTCCCTGTCTTGAGAGACCCCATCCTCCCCGCATTCTCTGGCCTCACAGGTCTATCTGGCAGTTTGCATGTGTAAATATGGTGGATAATGGAACAAATTTAGAAGAGAGAAACATAATTATCTTTGAGATTTATCAAATTATTATTCTGAGTGAACACTTCCAAATTCTTTTTTATTTTGGAGGAAAAAAGGGGATTGAAGATAGTAATCAGGCTACGCAGAGACATGACCGGTAATCGTGGACTCGTTCTCTGACTCAGGCCAGGGGACTGTCCTGGACATTTGCTTGGCTGACATCATAACCATTACACTAGAGAAGCCAGCATGAGGGGTCTGTGCCCTGACAAAGGGACTCCACAGCGGTTAGTGCCGTGCTGTGAATATGATCTGTTAATGATTTGTTCACGTGGGAACAGTATTAGGAGATTGTCAGGATGGACAAATCATTTCTGGCTGGTAGCTGAGAAAAAGGGAAAAGAGGAGGAGGAATTTGATTTAAGGAAAGGAAAACTGGGTGGGGTTTTATGCAAAGATAAATTTTTCAAAAAAAAAAATGTTATTGCCCCTTTTACCCAAAGCTTCTCCTTCTCATCTTCTAGTTCAATCAGCAGAACGGCGTTTTTGCGCTGGAAAGCACGTGGACTTTGGAGCCATCCGACTCGGGATTGTCACCGGGTAACTGATGACCTTGGAAATCAGTCTCTGGGCCTCTGTAAGGTGACCGTGCCGACAGCCTCCCCGGGTGAGAGACCAAATGCTGATGCTCACACAAAGCCCCCCAGTGCGGGCCCGCACCTGGAGTGGCTCAGTAAGTGACATTGCCTTCCCTTTCCTGCTTTGGAGCCCTGGGCTTTAACGTAAAGTTTCTGTGGTGTGTACTGGGGACCTGGGTAAAATTTCCTTCAGGAATCAGATTCCATAAATAAGTACTTCATTAGAAGTCCACTTTCGCCTTGAAGGATCTGTAAAATGCAAGACTCAGTAGCATTGACACCTAACCCAAATGTGTGTAATCACCAACTGCAACACAAAACTGGTGATAGACAGAGCTTAAAAAGAGAGATCTGTTGGACTTACAGGGTTTTTATTAATCACTAAATTCTGTGGAGAGCTATTTTAAAAGGAAATACTTCTGCAGAGCTAATGTATAAAATTTTGCAAGTGGTTGTATTTGGTGGAAAGCATAATTTTTTCTTCCAACTGACCTCTTAGGATGAGGTCACTGGGTATGCTGTGTTCCCCCTAATTAGGCTTTGAATGCATCTACTTGGACAATTAAGTTCCTTTGCTGGTCTTTTTGCTCCTATTATATGAATGTTAACTCCAGCTTAAGACGAATGAAGCAGTTACTGGGGATGCAACTGAAAGATCTGGTAAATTTGGGGAAAGAATGTGGAAAGAGTCCCAGAACTGGCTGTCCTCAGCTACAGAGGCCGAGCTTGGAGGTGTAGGATTCACAGATGTCTGAGTGGAGGAGAATTTCTAGCCTTTGTGTTATTGCATGTGGGTTTGGGGAGAGGAAAATTAAAAGAAAAAAATATGTATTGTAATTGGAGAAGTCAAAACACTGCTCTATAAAAAGACCGTCTGATTTTGACTTTTACTGAGGTGAAGCCCTCTGTAATCATTCTCTCCAGCCAAAAGCCTGAAATAAGTTTGATATCTCACAATGGCAAAATTCATGATAAATGAAAATCATCTTGGATTAGCCCTAAATAAGGATATTGTAAGAGAGCAAATAATTGAATTTGAATAAATAACTCATTAATGAGGTCTGCATGGCACCACTGAGTGCCAGCAGTAATAGAAAGAAAACCGGTCAGACTGACTTTTGACTTGGTTGTTATCCCACATAATTGAGATCCATCTCTTCTGAGCATGATTTCTTTCAGTGTAAGGAAGGCATCTAGCTCACGTCATGCTATCCTGGCCTGGCTCTAGTATGATGTACTTTTTTGTAGCTGAGCTACCTTTTTCATTTAAACCTGATAGGTTTAATATTATGGGGGGTGGTGGAATGAGTTCACCATTATTGTTTTTAAGTTATCCCATTCATGAACACTATTGGGAGTCAGTTCATTTTTGCGTGTTATTTCACTGGCGTGCATTTCATTTGGCCTGTGTTGGTCACTCTGACGCTGTTCTAGTGTTTATTCCTTGACTGAGAGCCATAGGTTTACGGGGCTATCTCCTGCCACGCTGTGTGTTCACGTTGGTGTCCTGCTCTGTCTGCCTCGTCCTCATCTTTGACATGCTCCTCTTTGGAGTGGCCTCCTGTTTTACTCATTCAGATTTTGCCCTGCTTGCTGTGATTAACAGAATTGAGAGTTCTTTGGTGGTTCCACTTTATGATACTGCATTTACAGTTAGTACAAGCCAATATTACATACATATTTTTACTTTAGTAGAAACAGTCCATCGAAGTTAACCAAGAGAGTTGTTATGCATAAAATGATATTTTATACAGTGTTATTCATGTTTTCTCTGAACTCTCCCAATAACTTGTACATTGCTTACAGTACCTTGTAGTCTACCTTTCATCTACATATTTTCTTCCCCTACTAGTTACAAATACTAAATCTGATTTCCCTTATATCCCTAAACCTGGGGTTCACAAACTCTGGCTTGTGGGCCATACCTAATCAACCACCTGTTTTTGAACTGTGAGCTAAGAGTGGCTTTTGAATTTCTTAGTAGTTGGAAAAAACTCAGAGAAGAGATTTTGAAATATGAAAATTCTGTGAAATTAAAATTTCAGTGTCTGTAAACCACCTTTTATTAGAACACAGCCACTCTGTGTGCACATTGTCTGTGGCTGTGTCTGTGATGTGACAGGGTTGCTGGGGAGCTGTAGCTCTGACTGTGCCCCAGAGAGCTGGAGGTGTTTACTGCCCAGCCCTTTACAGGAAAAGTTTACAGAGCCCTAAAGTGAACTATCGGAGCATTGTTTTTCATAGGAGCCTCCATAGAGGCCTCTAGAATGAGTAAATAAGCATATATTAAATTGGGAGTAATTATTAATCAATTTAAGCAGTTTAGATAATTTAAGCAATAGAGACAAGATAAGAGCAGAAATTTTCATTGGGATCTGAAGCCGAGAGCTAAAACCACATTCTCTGCGGCTTTGTTTTTCCTGGATCAAGGCTGACAGGATGTCGTGCCCATGAGGCTGACCCAGCCTTTGAGGTTCCGGAAAAGATCGAAAAGATAGACAAATCGGAAGAACAAATTCCCAGCGTGAAACTGAAACTTTTAAAACCAACTGAGAAAATCCAAACACCAGTTTCACAATTTTTAATAAATGGCATTCAGTAAGAAACATACACTAACACTCAGACTTGCTCTTAATCGCTCGGTCCCTATTTCAGTCAGTGGGTGTGCATGGAGTGCCTTCTGGGACGAGCGCATATCACCAGCTCTCTTCTCGCTTTTCCTTTGCCTCCTGTAGTCAGCTTGAAAAGAACCGTCTACATAAATGTAATAAGGAGCACATGCTGCAGGTATGGCCACAGCGATATGAGTCCAGAGGAGAGGGAAATTCTGTCTGGCTGGGGTAACCACTGAGGAGTTAGTGATGGACTGGCTCTCGAGAGACTTAAACTGGGGCAGAACTGGGGATGAACAACCCAAGCAGAAAGAATGATAGGACAAAGTCTGTGAAGGGGGCAGAATATGAGATGGTTTTAGAAAAATGATGTATAACAGATTATTTAGGGACATAAAGGGGAATAAAGGGAATAAATCCCCATGTTAAAATACAAATGGTATCGCAGAGGCATGAGATAAAGTTTATATTTTCGTGTTTAAAATCTATACAGATTCAGGTTGGAGTGAACACAAAACACCAAAAGATTCACAGTAGTTCTGGTATAGAAAATACAGACTACAGTGAGCATTAGCATTTGAAAAAGTAGTGATTCCCATGCTTTCCTAAGACCTGCACCGTGACTGTTACTAGGCTAGGGACAAGTTCCGTTAGCCAGTGTGCCCTGGGCAGTATCGTCTGGAGGTTCTCCTGCCAAAGAGAAGGGAGGAGTCGGGCCTTATCCGAGTGACTGAGAAGGAGCAGAGCGTTTTGGTAGGTCTGTGAACGTTTGCTACCACCTGCTCAGTTTGGTAATTGCCCCCAACCTCTATTTACTTTCCCTGTGTAGGTAAAGTCACAGATACTTGGTTACAGAAGCATAAAAATAACGCATTTATATAACTTTAATTTGAGGATTTCTGAGAAGAAGGCCCGAAGAGCAAAAACTTTGGAGCAAAGACTTTTGGATATCAATATTATATTCTGCTCATTATCCATCACTAGCAGATTCATCTTTATTATAATGTAATCTTCTTGTAGAACTCTCCAGGGCCTAGGCTGTAGTCACTGTGATATCTTACAAGTTCATGAAATAGTGACTTCTGCTTTGACATGATTTTGATAATGAGAAATAATGGCAATCAATTTCCTTTTACGGGAAAAGTATAAAGTTTTTGAATTGGGTCAAATCCCAAAATACCATATGACTTTGTAACACAAAAATGAAAACCATCTATTGTATTCAAACCATGTGTTAAGGCTAAAAGGTAATGTTAACTGGATTTCCTGAATCCAGCCTAGGAACTTTGATATCCTCTGTGCCATGTGAGGGCTTAGAAGTCTCTGCCGAGGGAGGTGCAGACCATCTTTCATCAGCCTGGGTTGCCCCTTATTCAATTTTGCCCCTGTTAAGTTCTGTTGCAGCCCTTTCTGGTGCAGGCACAGAAGTTAGCTCTTCTTTCCTTTCTGTCATTTTTATAGTGGTGTGGCTCAACCTGCTTCCGAGTATTTCAGGAATAAATAGGCATTATGAACCAAGAAAAGAATAAGAATAGCATTGTGAAGTTGACCCAGCTATGAGAGAGTATTTCTCATGATTAGCTTGGAAGAATACCTGCTTCAATGCCGTATGAGACAGGAAGCCTAGCTTTGGAGGCCTTAGACGTCCTGAAATATAGCTCAGATGATATGGAGAAGATGCAGGCACGAACTTCTAAAGCTCCGTGCCTGCAGATTTTCATCTCTTCCTATTACAAAGTGAAAATGGTCGCTATTCTCTTATCTGTGCATGTGGTAAACGTTAACTGATGGCTGTTCTTGCTGAATTACATTCAGTCTATTGGGGAAAACCCATATATAATCAGTTTAGAAATAGAGTGAGTTAGAATGTAATGTCACAGATGGGCAGTGAAACTTTAATTCGCATTTTTATGATCTCCAACTTGGATTACAGTAATTCTCTGCCTCCAGGTCTCCTTCCGGGGTCCCACTGGAGAAGGAACAGATAGCTTGTCCAAGCGTGCGACCCCGGAGATTTTAAGCATGCAGAGTCTGGTCAGCGTTTGCCTCTGTTTGGAGACTGGTTCTGGCTGCCAGTCAGGTCTGGGATTGATTGTAAGAGGTCCTAGGGATGTGTTTTTGAAACACTGTGTGAATCCAAATGAGTTTCAGGTTTCCTATCGTCCAAGCCCAATTTTGTTCAACTGTAAAAATGTGGGGTTTTCATTTTTTCAGAACTATTATTATAAATCACTATGCCCCATAGCTTTTTCAAGCAGTTGTGGAATATATTTTTCCTATACAGATTCAGACTATCACACCTGTCATTAAATTTAGGTCAAGACTAAAGTGGCTTGTTTAATTTGCTTTCTTCAAAAGTACTGTATCTTTCTGTGTATTCTGTAGCTTTGCCAGGATTTTTTAAAGCTACTTTAAGATCTCAGCATTCTAATATTTAGGACTCCTTTTTCAAGTAGACGTAGTTGATAAAATCTTGCTAAAAG